AGATGTGTATAAGAGACAACTTATAAACTTATTAACTGATTATCCTAAACTGTAAGCCGAACTATAATCCTAAAAGTATATTATATAATCGTTTACGCTGTCCCTCTATATCCTCGGATCCAGCTACAACCGAACCACCCTCAGGTAATACTTAATTACAATTCAATATCAGAGTTGCATGGAAATGCAACCTGTTACAGTGGCGCCCGAACAGTTAGCAAAGTGATTCTCGAGTGATTATTTATAGATCAGTGACTACGCAGAATCCTGTGTAAGGGAAGTTTCCGAAGATTTAAGGCTCTACATCATCTACTACTTCTACAATTTGAGCATCGGACTTCGACACGGTCTACGAGAAGAATTCAGCGACGAAGATTACAACGGCTACAACATACAAGACCCAGCATCTGCTTCAACGCAGCTAAGTAATAACTTGTGCGGGCTATATTGGATAACCACAGCGCAACGTTTTCAGTGCATCAACGGCCGGAAATAAGTGATTATATGATATGCACAACGATCGCCACTATGCATCATGACGCAATCCCTGCACCTTTGATCAAGGAAAGCGTCCAAGAAAAAGAGGTGGAAAAATGAAGAAAACAGCGCCAGCAGAATACCACGATGCAACACGGTTACTGCGCATCTATCTCTACGTACCACACGAATCTTCGCGGAAACTACGCGTGTGGACTTCAGCAAGCGTCGGGATCTACTTCCAGCACCTAAGCTGAATATTTTATCCCATATAAATGAGCCTGTTAAATTTAGTTGTTCTACCGTATGTGCATATTGACCTTATCCGGAACGACGCCAATGGCGACGCTATTTATATGATCCTTCCGCAACATGCAGGTCGCACATCGTATAGTAAACTTTTTAATGTTATTTTAAAGCATGTTTTCATACTGCTTTCTTTCCAAATTCAACATATGTCGAAGCAACGTTTGCCTATCTTAGCTGACTTTTTAGAATGCGCCGATCGAGCTACTAACAACTCTCCTAGTATATGCACTCAATGTTAAATCGATATATAATTAATTCTATGGGCTACGATGACTTCATGAGAAGACATTCTAAAACTAAATGCCCTCAGGCTGACGCAATAACGTTGATCTCGATTGAAGCTGATTCCTTATTGAAGCTGATCTTGATTATCATAAGGCGCAAATTATGCAGTTAAAATACAATTAATGATTAAACTTAATACTACAACCCCTCTTAAAAATATAAACTTGATGCTGCGATCAATTTTAAATAATAATAATAATAATATTGCGCTTTGGGACGATTGTTCCCTGACTATGATCGAATAATTCTGATGTAAAACGATTCATTAGTCATTACTACTTTTACTAAAATGATTTTTTCTAATGGAATGTGCATTCTGCATGCATTAATGCAGTTTTCATAGCGATGTTATATGCTGCCATCCAATTATTTTATTCAGCATGTTCAAATACTATATCCATGTGGATAAGTTTTCAGTGCATAGCGAAGTCCGTGCAATGACACGTGAAGGCTGGAATAAAAAGCAAAGGCATCTTTGAACGATTGGTTCAATAGCATTGACTCACGTATAGCGCATGGAAGTTACGGTTACTAACTAATATCTGCATTAGTTAGCAAACATGTACATTGAAGAATGTATCTTTTGACGAATGCTCCGTATACGAAAAAGTGTGTTAATAGACGAATATATGCATTGACAAAGCGTACATCGATAAATGCCGGAGCTGATAATGAACTAGACGTATTAGAAATCTGTAAGGTTACAACGTCATATTAAGGTTCAGAAAAGGTCATTTCAATGAAAGACTATATGAACACCTATTGTATTCAGCAATTTTAAATATGCGATGCAAAACTAATATTACCGACCTACAACCGTTACTGCGAAGAACGTACGATCGCGTATAAGCTGCTCTATAATAACTTACTAAATTATGATTACGATATCATCATTTTGAGATGAGGATTGATTGTAAAGGAAGTCATTTCTTCACGATAGTGATAGATATATCATAAGTAAGTGCAGCTAATTAATCTTTCCACAAAGATCTGATAAAAATTGTGGATACGCTCTTACGAATATGTTCTTTTAATCATTAACGAATCTATTTCATTACTTGCAGCCATGCATGAAATAATATGAAATAAGAAATAATATGGGCCAGCATTTTTATCGACTACTGCCTGATTTAATGATTGTATTTATTGAGACATGGAATACGTTAGCTAAGGCTTCCGTTCAATGAATAATTCCATCCCTACAACAGCATTTGTATAATTTGTGAAACTCATGAATATCATACCATAAATACATGCCCTACATAGCAATGATTTTTCATGCATAAATACGGCAGACGAAGTATGGCTTCGGTGAACCTTAACTTTCCGTCTTCAACGGTTTTTTATAATAAAAAGCCGTAAAAGTATCAAGCATATGAACAATCGCCTCAATTATATTATAAAATGCGATGCCGATTAAAGCGTGAAAGCTACGATAGTAGAGACTTTTTTATAAACAATTCTTTTACTCTGTAATTCATCTACGCATTTCTATTAACTGTAATAGCACTAAATGCGAAAACTGTTTACGTTTCCTGACGGTACATTTTTTATCATTACCGGTAGATTGAAGTTACCAGTATCGCCGGATTTCAATGCCACGAGTAGATTGTGTGCAAAGACCGCAATCAAGCTCCGCAAAACTGCTGACGCTCACTCTCAATCAATGCTACTTGCTTGATTTTTTTTCTTGCAGTACTTTTCATTCTCTGCAGCGGCCTCATTGCATTGCCTCATTCCAAAGAGATATCTATTTTTTAATGATAAAGCCGCAACAGTCATAAGACTATAAACAATCGAATTATATTTCGTATGCCACAATTACGAAGGACGAAATAGCACGTAGTAATCCGAGAAACCTTTATCGAGTCGATATATCAATGCCGGAGTAATAAGTTCGTGTTTTATAATGTGACGAATAGCATAATTAAAAATGTTCTGAATACAAACGCTTTTAATAGGAAACGTTATTGTTTTTCCTGCAAGATTCTTATAGAAATCGAACTGTTAACAAGGTTTAATTCCATAGTTGATAAAAAAGTTGATAAAAAAATCCACAGTTGAAAAGGATACAATAACGTGCGTTGCACCAGCGCGCGGCGAACAAGCAGCCGACGCGTAATGCATAAGCGGCAATGCCAAGCACTCAGCAGGCAAGCAGCCTTAATTCAGAACAAGAGCAGAGAAAAAGAAAAAAACACGAGGCCATCGATGCAGCGCAGCAACGCCCGAGACGTTCACATGCTGATTCCAAGGTCGTTGTCCCAGCTGCCTGTCACGTCGTATTATACATTAAATGCAGTTCAATTCATAATAGTATTTACCATTTAGCAAAGGAATTACATTAATAGCGTCTTTGTTGCCTCAACTTTCGCCACAATTAGCAACGGACGATGTCTCATTTAATCTTTGAATGCAACAGACTACCAAGCAAATAGAATGCATTTAAATGCTGATTGCAGATCGGATACCAATATGAGCTACCTTTCTCTAATTTTGTTCATCAATTAATAATGTATGCGGTGTAATAATGTATGCGCGAAACTGTGCTCCATTGTTCCATTACGGAGTTACCGTTAATAATGATCATCATGTTTATTGATATATTTTTGTTGCTTCACCGATGCAGCATGTCCGACTAGCATGCAGGAGTATTTCTCCAACTATATTGATTGAATTTTATTTTTCCGACGATATGTCGCCTTCCAATTCGAGACTATGCTTGAGAAACAACCGATAAGATTTTAATCATTCGTCGTTTTAATTTATATAACTCAAGTCTATACCGCCGAAATTGTAACGTGATCTACGTAATACTATGTTAATTTCGAAGGTATTAGTGCCACGACAGAATATGGTCTTGCAATATATTATATTTATTGCAGTTTTATTTATTCATGTGGTGTTTTTCAGAAACAACTGCCACTACGACCTTTGACCTCATCAACCCCCACGGTTCTGGCTGTGCGATGACCACTTGATCCATTCCCTTACAATGGTCTGGTCGTCGAGCATCTTTAACCATTGCAAATTATAAGTGGATCGTATTGTTCGTTAAAACTTAATACGAAAGCCATAAGTTTTTCTAATACCAGTGATAAACTTGATCACTGTGACTAATGGAGTGGTAAGTCCACTAATATTAAGATGATTACCTAATCCTTAGCAGGAGTGGTCGAAAGTCGAAACCATTAGGTCGACAGACCTCCGACTCACTAAAATCATGCCCCCCTAAGGCATCCACAAACTTTAACTAAAGTGTACTGGCCAAGCTAAAGCACCGAGTGTACTCGAAAAAAGTATTATTTTGAGTGACGTAATCACGTCCATGATTACCACAGGCATTTGCCTCGTATCAGTGAGCACTTATTTCCAATTTTAACTGCATCTCTTAGATAGCAATATTGTTATTCTCTTTGTGAAATCAACCGCATTGAAATGCTCATACGTACAGGCGTCACCGCCCTGATTATGCTGATTAATCCTAATTGTAACAATCTCTACAAATTTACCGATAAGCTTGATTTGCTATCGATGTCAGCTATGATGTGACTTTTATTTTTTTCGATTTCTTATGTTTTATTTCTAATGCATACCATGTATTCTTTTGATTTATGCGCAATTTTTGTATTGATTGCATTATTATGTATTGCATGTTTGGACACCGTTGTAAACCATCTCATTAATGCAATGGTCAAGCTTGTCTAACAGCTCAACTTAACGTAAAGTCAACTGAACTTATGTGCTAACGAGTTTCAGTAACGTTAACGTAAATAAAAAAAAGAGACGATCCTCTTGCATTTTGGGTTTGCGTTTTCTTTTATTAGATATACTGTAATAGTTTCTCTAGCTATATTGTATAGTTATTTTTCTAATGCCCGTGTATTTCCGAACGAGAACTTGGTTCTTCCGTCTACGTCACGAAGGCCGACGCACTGCTGTACGTCTCCAACCTTGGCATTGAAGACGCCAGCTACTAGGCGAGTCATTGACTTATCATACGCCTGCCACGTCACAACGCTGACGTCACAGCTTAATAATCAGCTGTTTAAAAGCTCTGCACATCTTCGTACATAACGAGACGGCAAGCACAAATTTATGGATGCTGAATGAATTGCATGACGACGTAAGATGATCATCTTCAACAATGTCTCCTCCCGATGACATCACGGTTATTTTCCATGTGAAATGTTGGAAAATTTCTAATACGGACTTCCAAGATTATTATCCACATCCATGGAAATTACTTTGGATCTACATATCGTCGAAACCATCCTCGTCGAAACCATCCTAAGCAGAATCCATCGTGATCGCATCCTTCGCGAACTTCGTCGAAGTTCACCCACAGTGCAGTTATCTGACATACTGCTCACGCAGTTACGAGACTGATAGAGTAGCAAAATCATTGATCAGAGGCATATTTCATTTTAGCAAGCGATTTCGCTTGACGTTGCCTCAGCCTTAGCTAAATAAGGACTATGAATAATATACTTTAAGAGTGTTCCTTTTTTTCCTAGCTCCTTATATCTTCTTGCGCTACACTTCTTGTCTCAGTTTTCAGCGAGCATTGATTCTCTGGATAATTATCCTATATTAATTACTATCTATTATTGATATAAAATTTGATGTTAATCACTTTATAACGCCGAATATTGTGACGCGCTTTCATTATAATTTCATATTTTTTACTGCTACTGTGTATATGTAGGCAGCCAAGATTTTTTTAGCAGAGTCATAACGATTATATTATCGTCACCTCATGTTCTTATTTGATTTTCTTGAACGACGATTCCTTGCGATTTCATTTTATTTTTTTGACATATGAAATCCTTACTGTTTGCTACGATCTTCCATAATGTATCCTACATCCGATTACATTTGGTTTCTGTTGTGAGCAACATTGAAATGATTCATAGATTTGAACTTATGTTTTCAGTATGCAAATTCGTTCATGTCAAATTGAGGGACCAATTTCCCGTAGGGAGGAAGGTGCTATTATGAATCTAAATTTGCTATTTTAAGATCTCTTAGCTGAATGTTTTACTGATTCTTAATTCTTGCTAATAGCATGATTTATCGACATGGTGCAATTTGTCATTTTTGTTGCATTTTGAATAACACTCAAATTCAGGAGCGTTAACACTTCCGTTTGATTTGATAAGATCGAGGACGATCTAAAAATTTCCCTAATATTAATGTAGCTCATTACCCCCGCTTCACTATTACAATTACTTCGTGTCGAGCGCTACTGAAGGAATATTAATGTAGCTCATTACCCCCGCTTCACTATTACAATTACTTCGTGTCGGGCGCTACTGAAGAAACACCATTGATCAGGACGAGCGTCTGCTGGTGGAGGAGTTGTGGTGGCAGCTGAACTGCTGACACTGAGGCCACTCAGTGCAGCTGTGTCAGTGCCACTGACATTGTCAGACGCTGGTTCACCGCCTATGCGACGGCAGATGACGCTGACTCTGGTGCCTCACTCAGCTGAGTCAGCTCATCGAGACGTCAGCCTGGTTAAGATTGCCACCGTCGTGTCAGCTCACGTGAGTATATCTCATGCCTGGCGTTATTGTTGCTGATAATTGACGTTTATATTGCTGACGATGAACACTAATAGTCGTGGCTCTGTCATGAGAGTAGCTTGCAGTTATGAATGTAGATTACAGTTATGAGTATAACTGACAGTTGGGAGAACATCTGGTAGTTATGAATCCCGCTGACATAAATGAGTACAGCTGACAATAGCTAGTACATACATTATTGTCTAATTACGATTCTCTAAACAATTATCAGTGAGTTGAAGCAGATCTTTTGAGATATGATTGCTCACGTTATAATAATATTGTAATAGTTTATTACTTATTTGTTGTATGAATGAGCAATTCAGTATTTAAGAACTTTCTGCAGGCGGCCTCTCCAGCTCCCCTCGGGCGTCTCCCTCGCCTACCCTTCCCTGGCGACGCAACGCAACGCCACGGAACCGACACTGAAACGGATAATGTATCCTCACTATTCAGGGATAAATTCAGGTTCAACTTCGATGAGTCTGGCCCAGTGACTGGGAAATCCATGGCTAATTCTAGCCGTGGATTAAATAAATTCAGCGCTCGAATTACATGGCAGGGATCTAATTCAGGAATCCGCCTGGATAGCGACTCAGGATTGTTGTTGCTGGATCCTGCAGCTGGGCTGGGACGGTGGGTGTATATATGAATATTATTAATCCAGATTAATTGATGAATGAAAATTTCTGTTTATTACAAATATTTGCCTTCCACAGTATCATGTAATTTGGCGCTTATAGAATAACGACGAGCACGATTTTTTATGTAGCCTGAAGTAAATTTTTTGATGTGTGATGAGAACTTTACTGCCCCATTCATGCTCAAAAATGTGTCCTGTCAATATGTTGGGCAGAATTTCATACGGCAATAACTTCTCAATTCAACACTTCAACAAAATTTCCGTTGCCAAGTGCCTCCGCTTGCCCCACTTTGTGCTTGAGTTCTTATTTGCAACTGTTGAGATTGCAGTCTATCTCAAGAGCCAAGGCGCAGTTGTGCTTTAACAGCTTATTTTATTTCGTGGAGATAATTTCTTCGACTTGTGTCCACTTGCAGACATCAAGCGAAGCTGCTTCTCTCGTCAGCGTTGGGCGAAGCGCACGAGCTGACTGTTTACGCTGACGTCAGCAGCGTCAGAGTTGCTGACGCGCTGAAATCTACACCAATCGATCTCGCCATCCTGCCTCACGACCTCCTGACGAATGCTGACGCTGAGGTGGATGATGACTTTGATGTAATCTACGATGAGAATTTTGTTACTGACGATGTTAAATTTCATAATTATCGTCCTGGTAACACCATTGTGAACATTCCAGGAACCAAACTCAGAATCTCCTCTGGACCGTCTCCTAAGGCTGATGAATCAGCATCTTGCTGACTACTCAAACGAATCAAGGACAGACTCCCCAAAGTCGTACGATATGTCAGCCATTCGCCCACACGTCATGGCTGTGGCTGTAGAAACCATACAACGCAACAATGACAGCCACACCAGAGTGTGGCTCCTTCAACAGCCACCTGAAAGGCACCTCAGATTTGCCCTGGAGCCTCTAATATTCCAGCATCAACATGAGGTAAACTAAAATAATAGTCTCGAAATAGTGAATAACTTGGTTAAATTAATGCAAAATTTACTGCCCCTACTCTTCTAAGTACGGTCCTGGCACGGCAGATCGAGGCCGAAGTCGGTGCGGCTGTGTTGGGCGCGGGCGTTTCGGCGCTGGGCGACTGCGCGTCTCGACGAGTTGCGTGCCGCTGTTGCTGCCGCGACCACGCGGCGCTGGACCAGCGCTGGCACCTCGCGGATGCCGGCGCTCGCAGCCACGCCGGGCCTTCCCTGCGTATAGAATCTTCGTGCAGGTAAAAGAATACACCTGTACGTTTGTACCCAAAAATTGGAATTATGTTTTTTAGTGTTGCAATTGCGTTATTTTATAGCGTTTATTTCAATGTCGTGACATTTTTCTCGCCCTGTTTTGTTAAAAAGACATACGTCGTTATGTTTACTCGCGTTTGTGCCTGTCAAAAACAAAACTTTTGACAGGCGTTTGTGCCTGTCAAAAACAAACTGCATAATTCACACATCAGATTACGAACAATTCTAACAACGCCTAAGGTCTCATAATTCTTCAAACCAGACCGAAATCATTCGAACTTTGAATATCATGAGGAATTCTATCCTATTTTTAAATCAATGAATAGTAATTTTATTGGTCGTTCTACCTAATATTCAGAACACGCAATTTTACGAAAAACAGAAAGATCAGCTAAGAACTTCAGTAATAATTATATAACGCAGACGAATTTTACAAGAATGAGCATCATCTAAGCTGTATATATATAAACCCACGATAATGCTCACTTCTTCTCAAGCACCACACACTGTTCAGGTGTCCAGTGCAGGACGGCGCCGAAGAGGAGCGCGGGCAGCTGGCTAGCCTGACTTCGGCGCACGCGGTCACCGCCGGGCGACAGCCGACATGCAGCCGGGGCGCCTGCCGCAACGGCGGCAAGTGCCTGCCTCACGCCGCGTCTGGGCCCAGGTGAGGCGTTGCGCCGACGTGTCATGAGCGGCTGACCGGTGCCTCATTTGCCTGCCTTTCGAGTAGGAAGCTACCCAGTTCTTGATTTTCAATGACTCACCGTTGGCGGTCACTTTCAAATTGCATAAAATTTAGAAATGATTGTGGCTCCTTTTATCAGATTAATGTCGGTGAAATTTAAAAATAATCAAACTATACAAGTCTACCAAAATTATTTTAAAAGTAAGCCAAATTTTTCCTCAAAATGCCATCATTTCGGGCAGGTGCGCGTGTCCGGGCCACACAGTGGGCCCACACTGCAAACTTCTCACCCGACATTTCAGGCCATCCAGTCCCGCTTCTCAATCCGAATATTCGTCTGTACCCTCATTCATGATGCTGCCCTCCCTCCCCACTTGTTCACAACTGCACATCACCATCTTCGTGCTGACTCAGCACAAAACTGGCAACATTCTCGGCTCTCAGTCCCGAGTCGATCAAAATTCTCGACACTTTCACCTGTTTCTCGATGATGGAAGACCCAAGCTCACCATCAGAAGTAGTGGACCAAATGCTTCGAAGAGTTTGACTCTGCAGAAAATTATCTCTGATTATGTTTGGCATCGACTCGACGTTTTTTGGATTAATGAGGTAGATGCATAGTTTGATCAATTTTGAATATAAACATATGACTACACTAATATCGCGATTGTGCTTGAATTTTATGCGAAACACTGAACTTTCTACTGTAGATGGCCCATATTGAATAATTATTATTAGCTGCTGTTCGTGGCATTTAAATAACTCTTATCTGACCTCTAAGAGTTAATGAAATATTCGTCTATTTGCCCATAGAGTTTCTCAAGTGTCGTAATGTTCTGCATAGTTGGTCACCGTTGTATAATTTCCTTTTCATCTTTATCGAACTTCTTAAGAATTTCAGTATTCGTTATTTCCTTGGTATTTCTTTTTCAACTGACGTTGCAGACGGTGACCGTGATGCTGGATCACTGCCTGGACACAGGTTCAGATCCCTTCGCCTCGACCAGCCAAACAACATCCAGCCTTCCTCTCGA